AATAAAATATTATCTAAAAATAAAAGTGATAAAACTGATACTTACCAACTAACTATGCACAAGCATTAATTTCAGAATGCATCTATTTGCAAAAAGCTATAATTGAATGCAGAAATAATTTTAGAAATCTGAAAAGCTATTTATAATTCTCTCAATCATTATTGACATAATCCAGAATATATTGGATTAATTACTACTTTATTAGATTCATGTTTAAAATCGATGAATTTATAATTAAGTGAAATGCATAATATTACAATTGATAAGCTGCATGATGAATTTATAACTTGGCATAATACAGTTATAACTAATTATTTAATTGAAAATATTGAAGCTAAAGTGTCTTCATTAATATCTGACTTTATAAAAAAAATATTTAACAATACTTAAAATCTGATAAACTATAATATTAAAATAGAGAATTACTTAAATAAAGCTATTACACCAATTCTATTTGAAACAAAAGATGTTTATAAGTGGTAGTATAATAACAAAAATACTTTCTCCATCTTAAGCAGAATAGCATGTAAATACTTATCTATTCTTGCTATATTTGTTCTAAGCAAATAACTCTTTTTAGATGCAAGCAATCAAATTATTTCTAAAAGAACTCATTTGTTACTCAAGGTAGTTAATAAACTGTTATTTGTTAAATGAAATAGTTTGTATTATAAAAACACTTGGGTTTAAAAATAAGTTTGAAAATAGCATAGTAAAGTGCTTATTTAATAATAAATAAAAAAATAAAATAGATTAGTAAAATTACTCTATTTATTTAAATACCTCAAAACTTTAATAGCTTAATATTTATATAGTTCTTATTTAATAATAAATAAATGATATGTAGCATAATATTGATATAGTTTTCTTGTTCTTTGAATACAAAAGAAATTCAAATATTATAAAGTCTACTTAGGTATATTAGGTAAAATTTTATATCTAAATATATCTGTTAATTATTCAAGTACATCAGATAAATTTTTTTATTCAGGTATATCTGTCAATCATCTAGATAACCTGTAGATTTATCTGTTAGATAACCTGGATAGCATTTTTTTAATCAGGTCCAATTACTATACTAAATATAGATAATTATTTACAAGCAGATTAAATTATTTTAAAGTATTTTAAAAACACTAAAAATAGTAAAGTTATTAAAATTATATATTAATATTTAAATAAAAGTAAAATAATTTAAAGTAATTAGAAGATAAAAATTTTGAGTATATTAAAAGTATTTAAAAAAATATAAAAATATTTGAATATATTAGAATTAATTTAAAAATTATAAAAAAGCAATTAAAATATTAAAGATTTAATAAAGAATATTAAATAATCTTAAAAATATGCAAAATTAAAATAAATAAAAATTAAATTTTGATTACATTAAAACTGTTTAAAGTAATGTATATTTATTTGAATATCATAGAATTATTTTAATAATAAAAATATATACACATTAATTTATAATTATTTAAAAATATTAAAATTGCTTTAAAATAATTCAAGTATATAAAATATAAATAGATGAAAATTTTTCTTTACAATTCTACATTGTCTTCTCATAATATTTCTTTATTTATAAAATTTAACTTATAAAATATTACAACTACTTACTAATCTTTAAAATATTCTATATAAATTCACAAATATTTATATTTCTTTACAATAATAATTTTATTTTTTTCTATATCTTACTTATTTATTATTATCTTTTTTCTTCCTTTCTTTTTTTATTTTTTTTATTTTTTTTATTTTAATTTTTACTTTTTTTATTTTTTTTATAATATTTTTAATATTTTTTTTTATTTTTAAATCTATTTAAAACTTTTTAAAAATTATTGAAATATTTTGAAAATAATTAAAATGCCTAAAATTGTCAAGAAACAATTAAAATTTAAACAAGTTTTTGCTAAATTAATTACAAGTTTATCATTGCAAACAACTGAAAAAAGAGAAAGAGTATTTTCTATAAGAAGTAAAGTTTTGATATCTGTTAAAAGAGAAGCAAAAACTTCTGAAATTATTAAAGCAGCTAGAACTGCAAGAAGATTACCTAGTAGTAATAAAAGAATTATATATCCATTTAAAGATTATAAAATTATTTCAAATTAATTTAAAATATATTAAATTTTATATAAATAACTTCAATATTTTTAATTATATCTTTTATATAATTCAGAAAATCTTTTTTTAAAAATTTTTGAAAAGCTTTTAGAACTATTAGAAAAAATTGATAGAATTAAAAGACATCTAAATGAGTTAGATAATAAAATTAATGAATTATATAATTTGTTAGCAGAAACTAATTTTATCAAAGTATTAAAAATTATTTTTATAATCTTTAAAAATATTTGCAATTATTTTAAAAAAATAATATGTTTTATCTTGCATGTTTAGCAATCAGTTAAAGCAATAGCAAAGAAAGTAATTGAATATTCAATTTATCTTTCCAAAGAAGATTTAAGAAAGGCAACCAAAATTTGAATGTTCAAAAATCATTCAGAATATTATAGTTCAATGTCAAATAAAGCATAGAAAACATATTATACTAAGAGCATTGCAGAGTCAATAAATATCTAAATATATTTAAAATATTTTAAATATTTGCAAATATTATTAAAATAATGAAGATTGAAGCAATTATTATATTTAATTTTATTTTAAAGTATTTTTAATAATGTTAAATATATTTGCAATTATTCGAAATAAATTTTAAAAATTTTAAAAATTTTTAAATTATTTTAAAAATTTTTTTAATTTTTATAATACTAACAAATAATTTTATTTTGATATAATAAATTTAGTTTTTAAAACAGCACAGATTTGTATGAAGTGGCCTAACAATACATATTAAAGATGCAATATTTGTAGTATATAGTAAAAGCTAATTAGATTCTATAAATACAAATATGTTTTTTTAAGATATTGCTATATAAAAAGCTTCTATAAAAATAAGACAATATTATAGGAAGCTTTTCATATGAATGGATTTTAATGATTTCAGGATCTGCAGATGTGATAATTAAAAATTGATATATATATATATATTTAATATATATATGTAACAATAATGTAGCAAATAAACAAATCACCTTTTGTTTATACATTGTGACAAATGATTTCAACATATTCTTGTTATTTTTGTCCACCCAATTTACGTTATTCATATCAATCTTAAAGTTCTCTTGTTAAACATGAAAAAACCAACATCAGAACAATAAAATTATTCTATATCTATATACTATAATTGCACCTTCTAGCTATGATATTGATCAGTTTAGAAATGCATTTATTATTCAAGTAAAAAAGCATCTTTAGTTTAGTCGAAGTAAAATTAAAAACAAAACAATTTAATTAGAACCTTTTTTAGAAGGATTATTCATTATTTTATTCTGTCACATTTCTACTTTTTATTATATTGCATCACAAAAAAAATATGTTGTTAGTTTTAATGAAAGTGCAGGTTATAAGGAGTTAGGAAATTTATTAAATGATGATGTGTAGGGATATAAGAAAGATAAATCAGAAACTATCGCTTATGTCTTAATAGAAAATAAAACTAGAACATATCAAGTTAATTTTATTTGAAAAGAACATATATATAAAAAACATAATTATCCTTTATTATATAGTTTAATGATATGTTCATTTTAGATTGATGTTCAAGATTTTGTTGCTGAATAAGGTAATAAAACTTTTATTGAATATACTATATTTTATTTAATTTTTAATACAAACAACTTTACATGAATAGATTGTAGAAACATTATGAATTCGATAATAAATTTGTCAATTTTCATATTTTATAATATCATACACTACAGGTTTATAAGTTTTACCACCACCCATTGTTGTTTCAGAAAAAAAAAGTTGTATCTAAGTAGAATAAAATATTAGAGATATGTAAATAAATTATATGTATATAAAAATTATTTTAAATAAAATAAAAATTTTTTACATGTTCATGATTTTTTTTTTCAAAACTGCAAGTTGAAAACAAATGTAATAACAATTTTTTGTTTTTCAAATTGCGCATAAACTTAGGCATATGTTGAGCTAACATATGCATATATGGTGTTACTTTTTTTTTTTGAATACATTCCTTGTTGTTGATTTGGTGAATTAAATTTTCCAATTGTGGGTTGGCTAAAATCTCTGATCTATTGTTTAGTATCATTTTCAAATTGATTAATTTTTATATCAGTTAAATTTTGTTGACACATTATATTGTAAAGTCTGTAGAATTCATGCCAAAGATTTTCTATTTTCTTTTCTCTATTCAAATTAAAAAATTTAGATATTTGAAAATTCTGCAATATTTTAAGTTTGTTAGGGCCCATTAAAGAAGTCCACATCCATGAGTTTGAATTAGTTATAGGAGAAAAAAATTCAAAATGTACACCAATTCGACTCATCTCAGCAATTATTAATCAGCTTGTTGTTTTTGCAAAATTTTTTCGATTTACTGAAAGTTTATAAAAAGCATATTATAATAAAATATCTGTTATGTGCAACATAGTATGCAATTCGTCAGATATCCAATTGCCTTAATTAATAATATTAAAAAGCATTGAATGCTTACGCCCTATTTTTTAATAAGATTTAGTTATATAATTTAAATAAATTTATATACAGTATACTAATAATAAAATTTCTTATCATAAGTATTTAAACTATTATTCCAATTCAATTCTATTTAGTACGTTCACTTTCATGACAATTACAAAACAAACAAAAATAATTTGAATTTGCAGCATTAAGTCCTAATACAAGTGCCAAAAATTTCCAATCTCCTGAAAAAAAAAATTTTATTGCCATATGTTTCCTAAATTATCAACAAATCCAGTATTTGTTAATTTCTCAAGCTCTTGAGCAAATCTTTGATAAATACAATTTAGTGAATTGTAATTTTCTTTGCTGATGTATAGACAAATACTTCAAATAAAAAATAGTAAATTAGATTTAATAAAAAGGTAATATAAATAAGAATAAAGTTTTTATCTATACACATGATTCGGATTTAATACTGCTTTAGCTTCATTTAATATACTAATTGCTAGTATTACATGACTTTGTTTTCTACTAATATTTCGACCATCTCTACTAATTTTTAAATTAATTTTATTACCAGAATAAAGAACAACTGGATTAGATACAGTTAAAATTGGCACTAAAATCATTAATAAAGATCTAATCGATCTATAAACAGCATTTTCAGTTTTATGATTGTTCAAATCTACATTTATATTAGCTCTATTTTCTACAATGTCTTTCTCAAATTCTAATTCTTGATTGATAGTAAATAAAACTATTGGTAAATGTTTCTTCATTTGATTACTAATATCTTTATATTGCTGTTCAACTAAATATTCTCAAACCATATTTGTATCTACAGTTGCCAATTTGCGGTATCTATTGCAGGAAATTAACATTTCATTACATATTCAAACAAGAGAATTATAATATTGTTCACTTTTATTCTTAAGCTGATAATTGCAGGTTATATCTTGATCTGCAATTCTAAGCTTTACTAATTCAAGACTTATTATATTAGCACCTAATGAATTAATAAATTGATGATTACAAAAAAGTTTTGCTACTTGAATCTTTAAATCTTTTGCTACCAATACAATACATTGTCTTTTTTGTAAATTAGATTTTAATTCTGTATAAGGATGCTTGTGATTAGTAGAAGTTTCCATTCTTGCTTTATGTAAACAATCAATATCAAATCCAAATAGAGATATTCTGGAAATACAGGTATTTAATTTATTACAAATATCCTACATAATATTTTTTATAATAAAATACAATTATTTTTTTTATTTAATTTATATATATCATTAAAAAAAATCTAAAATATAAGTTTTTTTTTATTTAATTAATAGTTACCATTAAAAATTTAACACCAACATTACTCACAGAAGTTGTACTACTGCTTGATAATGTATTACCACAAGAATTTATCCAACTAATCATATAATTAATATTACCATCTTGCTGATATTGAGTTTTACATCTTATAGACAATCTCGCTAAACTAGTTTCAACCTCATATTTATCAGGAATCTGATATGTGATACCATTATGTTTGTGAGTAAATCTAGAAATAAGAGAATAATGACCAAGTTTAATTACTTTGTAATTACTCCAATAATCTTTGTCACCAATTCTACATATTGCTCTAATATATGGAAAATTATCATAAAATATATGCCTATTCTTATAAGTTAATAACTTTTGTGACAAGATCCTTATAATACAAATATTTATTAAGTTTATATATAAACTTTAAATATTTAACCTATATAGATATACCAGTAACTAACCTTGTATCTCTATATTCATGCTTTGTTCAACCATTTTATTTGAAGTTTCAACTGGTAAAACATTACTCTATAAACTTTGCTTATTTGGTTTACGTACATTAAGATCCAAAGAGATTGAAGTAGTGTTCTTATAAAAGGCATTCGCTAATGCTTCTTGAGACTCAAGTCTATGCAATGTTGTATTACTTGATATACTTGGGTTTGCATTTACAGTAAGTTGAGATTTTTGTTGAACTTTATGGGATGACACTTGAGAGTTTTTAATAGTTCTGTGCTATTTTACTTTACTTTCATAACAAAATGTCTCAGGTGTAAGTAGAGTTGTAAAGATGATAATCTTGTATATTGGAAGAATATACTACAGTAATGATAATGTAACACAAATGTGATATAAACAAATAGATTTTCCAATTAAGGCTATCAAGTAATGTTCAGGTTGATCGGAATATGATTAACTATTACTATAAAAGGAAATAGTTCAATATATCATCCAATAAAATTAATGATATTCATATACTACTTCTGTGTTATCACATTTGAATTTATTCACATAAAATCCACCCATATGTTGATAATATTAATATTCAAGATCCAAATTCTGAAACTTATATGCAAAAAATTTTATCTAAGATTTGGCCTTCAGACTTATTATCAAATAATAAAATTGCATATGCTATAAATATATGCCAAATAATGTTAAGTTTACATTATAAATAATTAATAATATCTGAAAACATTGTTAAAAATCAGCTTAAGAAAAATCTAATAAAATATTTTTATAAGCATTAAAATATCTATAAACTTTAAATAACTTTAAAATATTTCAAATTGTTGTGCAATTCAACAAGAAAACTTAGTACAAAAAGAGCAATAGTGATTAAATACATAATGAATAGCCTATTAATGCTAGAAGAATTAAATAGAAGAAGACCAGAAATATATATAATAATTGATTGCCAAGTATGTCAAAAAGGTAAAAAGAAAATTTAAGCATACTTAGCAAACTACATTAGACAAAAAAGCTTTTAAAAAAGAATCCAAAAAGTAGCAACAACAGTAGTATAGAATAGTCTTAAAGAAAATAAAAAAGTTAGAATCTCACCTTTAGTGCTATATGAGACAATATTTGGAAAAACAGAAACAGAGAAAATTACTAATAAAACAGTTTTAATAAAAGGGCTAACAATAAATGAAGTTAGAAAAAAATTAGTTAGATTCTAGATAGGCAATATAAAAATACATAGATATAGTAATAAAAACAGTGTAGAATACATTCTATGACCAAGTATAAAGAGTTTAGTATAGAAAAGTACAAGAATAGAAAAAGAAGATTAATATAACAAGCAAAATAAAAAAAGTGCTCAAACTAAAAGAAAATTAGAGAAAAGAACAAAGAAAAATAAGGCAGCAAAAGAAGAAAAAAAAAAAAAAAGTAAAAAAAATAAACTAAATAAAAAAAGAAGCTTGAAAGACAATTGATATACTTGAACAAAAAAAAAGACCTTTTTAATATAGCTTTAAGTAGTTAAATAAGCAGTCTATTTCTAACTAAGATAGTATAGCAGGTTGCACTTAAGTACCAATAGGATGGCTAAGTAATGCTAAACTTGAGTATTAGAAAATTCTATATAATTATAAATGTATTTAGTTTTAAGAATTTTAATAAAGTACTAGCATAACTGCTTAAGGTTAAAAAAAAAATTGTTATGCAATTTTGTGCAAATATTTGAATAGTATTAATATTATTTAAATTAATTTAATTATTTAAAATAATTTGAATAATTTCTATTAAATAAATAAAATAAAAGATAAATTACAGAAAAATCTAGGTTTTTACTACTTTCTGATAATGATTCAATATTAAGTAACAAAACAACTCTCTTCACTGATCACTTGTACACAAAATTAACAGAAGCAAATTGAAAGTTTTTTCAAAAACAACTGTCTTAACCAACTTCACAGGCTTAAAGAAAAGATAGAGCTTGTATTAAAAAAATAACAAGTGAAAGAGCAAGTAAATAGGTTACTTAGTAGTAGAGTTAGAAGGAAAAAACACATTCAAAACTTGGAAAAATAAATTTGGGGAATTTGCTGTGACTTGAAAATGTAGATCTGTTGATCACTATGACATATGAACAGACAAACAAAACAAACACATGTTTAGATAGACATATACACAAACCTAATTAGGATAATGGACAGCACATAATATAGAAAATTTGAGAATAAGCAAGAAACAAGCAAGAAATACTAATAACAGACAAAGATGTTGAACATCACAAAAAGCCAAAAAGAAAGTCTAATGTCGACATATATCAAAAGAGCATACTTAGCAGTAAATAGTATATATAACAAAGTGTTTTTTAATCAAGCAAGCAAGAATTATGTAAC